GCCTAGGGACATTTTAAATTGGTTTCTAATTAATTTTAAAATAAGAATAGGCCTATTGAATATATCTTTTAATTGATTTTAAATTTTGTAGATTTGTATCGATTGTTCTGTTTTTAATTGGCTGTAAGCCGCCCTGAGTCCACTAGGAGAAGGGCGGGATATAAATGCAATAAACTTGAAACTTGAAACTTGAAACTTAAACACCAAACTATTTTAACATATATCCATCAATTATTTGAGACTTTACTCTATTTAGCCACCACTGCTAGAATTTAAAGTTTGCTAAGGTATTGTTTAGAAGCCAAGAAATTTGGATTTGCTTAATATTTGTGAGATAATCAGGGCTACAGACTAAATGGGAAAATTAAAAAGAAAATAAAATTCTGGAAAAAGGCAACAGCAAGCCACTCACATATGCTTCCCAGAGAATTGTGTGGCTATACCCATGCAATCATGAGGAATCAAGTCTGCCTTGAAAGTGTTTTCCATTTTATTAATTGATAATCAGTCTTTGAAAGCTCTTGTCTTTTTATCTCTATTCACTGAACTAAACAAACAAATAAACAAAAAATCTTCTAAAAGAAAAGGCTGCAACTATATTTCTTGGCTTTTTCTTCAGTTTCCAGGAATAAGCTTAGAGTGGGATTGCTTTTGCAAGAAATAGAGGCTGCAAAAATCTGAGGTGGTCACATGTGCACATGTATAGGTAATTAAATTTGAAATATTCAATTCATTTTAATTTATAGCAAAGTCTCTTAAATAACTATGACTTTAGTATTAATAGTAGTCATCAGGATTATACCCATCTCTGGATTCATTCACCATAAATAAAATGTTGCATTTATTCTACAGGGAAAATAATAACCTTTCAATATAAATAAATTCTAAATTCTTTTCTTTTAAATTTTTACTATAGTGCATGAACATTGTTAATGTCTTCAAAATTGGGAAGGGGGAGCTTTTGGGAATGCTTTCCACTGTCTGCTAAAATGCCCTTCCCACGGGGGATGGAATGTCTCTTCCTTATCTAAGAGACAGTTTGCGCTTGGAGCCAGAAGAAATCGAAAGTGAGAAAGACCTTGAGGAGCCCACCGAAAAGACCGGTTAACTCTCATGCATGAATGTTGCTTTTAATATATTGCTTCGTGGGTTTTTCTCTCAAATCTCACCTTGATTCCATGCTATCACTAGCCCCTAATAAAAGTTCCTTTTGAGACAATGCCTGTTTCAAGAGTTCTGCTTTTTCGGGTGGCTTAGCTAAGGTAGGTCCTTATATAAGGCGAGATCTGCATAGTGCCCAACCTAAAGAGGCAGCTACCCTATCAAGGTGGGTCGCAACCGACATGTCCCTTCCTACTGGCGACATGGAAGTGGGTCAAATAGAGAGCTGGAGATATCGTCCTAGCAGACCCCGGGGAAGGAACTTCCAGGGATCTAGGAGTGGTTGAACCCTTGGCAGAAGGCGACCGAGCCAGGGGGTCATTTGGGGTTGGAAAGAAATAGGACTGGGAAGGGAAGGCTCCAAAAGTAACTCTCATGCATGGTGGAGGAACGAAGAAGGTAAAGAAGAAAGCGCCAGAGCCTGCTCCCCCCCAAAAGGGACTGGTGGACCCAAATTCAGAGACAATGAAAGCTATCTTAAAGCACACCATGGAATATGTGTGAGAGTCATTCAAGGAGCTGAAAGGCCAGCTGAAAGAGCAATAGGAATCGGAGGAAGAAGCAGAGGAGGAAGCAGGTGAAGAAGAGCTAATAGTGCCTGAGGAGACCCATAGGGGCCATACCCCAACCAGCGAAGCTGAAGCCAATTCTGTTGGGGGTGAAATTTGATGGGAAACCCAAAAGGTTGGGATTCTTCCTAGCCCAAGTATTCACATACATGCAGATATATGGAAGAACACTGCCTACAGATGAGGAGAAAGTCTAGCACTGGAAGACGCAGTGGCGGATTGGATGGTGACCCTCTACAACTGCAATGCTCTGGAGCTGAAAAATTTCAACTGGTTCATGGCAGCCCTCCGACATCGTTTCAAAGACCATCTGGCAGACAAAAAAGCTCGCGAGCACATGAAGATGGTGAAGCAAGGGCGACGACCAGTAACTGAGTACACTGAGGAATTCTGGGAGTTGGCCAGCCGATTAAACTGACCAAAGGACATCCTGGTGAGTTGCTTCCAGGATGGCCTAAATGCAGACCTGTACAATGCCTGTGTGGCCCAAGGGGCCCCAGGGCAATTGTATACTTGGTGCCTCTTAGCAGAAAGGTGGAAATAGATCAAAGCAAGCACCAGAACCACCCTGTGAAACCCACCTTCAAGCCAACCCTGGAGAAGAGAGTTGAGATGGCCCGACCATCACCAACCACACCCTGCTCTATTGCATGCTTTAAGTGCGGGAAAGAGGAGCACTTGACTGTCACAGCAAGGTACCAGCCAAGAGAGGAGACCGGCAATCCACCAGCAGACCTACAAAAATGACACCACACCCCAGAGAGCTGGTGATGGCAGTCGAGGAGACCGTGGAAATCCCCCGAGCTCGTAGGTCGAGGGTCAAGTTCTGGCTCCTGCCAACTATGATTCTGAGGCAGCTGAGAGTGACTATGAGAATGACCACTTGATAAGTGGCCCAATTGATCCCATAACCATGCCCCTAGAACTGTTCATACCGGGTGCCGAGAAGAGAGTAAAATTAGTCAGCCCAGAGCTGGTGGGGAGAATGGGAATACCACTCAGGAGGCTAAAGACCCCAATAACTTTCTGCCAACTCGATCGGTCCATCGCAGGGGGAGTCCCTGCCAGTTTTGCTACCAGACCATTGCATATTTCTATGGGAGACCACTCAGAGACTTTAGCATTTGTTGTGGCTCCTAGCATGGAGTGGCCATTAGTATTAGGCTTGGTGTGGCTAAAGAAATGGAATCCCATAGTAGATTGGAGGGAAGGGCACTTGAAATTCCTGAAGAAGAGGAAAGGAAAGGGTGGAAGGCATGGACTATGTCGCGAATTAGCTTCCACCCTCAACGAAGAGGAATTGCAGAGCCTCCCACCAGAATACCAAGACCTAGACTAAGTGTTCAGCGAACAGAGGTTGGATGAGCTTCCGCCCCACCAACCCACAGACTGTGCCATTGAAATTATCCCAGGGGTGAAACTTCCAAAGCTGAAGATGTACTCCATGACCCCACAAGAACTGAATGAACTTCATAAGTTCATTGAAAAGAACTTAGCATGGGGTTTCATCCAGCCTGCAAAACCCTGGGTGGTAGCCCCCGTGCTATTCAGGGAAAAGAAGGATGGGTCACTTCATCTCTGCATAGATGATAGAGGACTGAATGCTGTGTGCATAGAAAACCTCCCCCTTATGAAGGACATGTTAGCACACCTGTCAAAAGGAAATTTTTTCTCCAAGCTGGAGAAAATATTACTGCAAAAGAATACTGGAGGGGGATGAATGGAAGACTGTGTTTAATTGCCCCATGGGTTGTTTCCAATTTAAGGTGCTACCTTTTGGACTGCTGTGTTTATGCAATTAATTAATGAGGTTCTGCATGAGCACCTCTACAAAGGAGTTTTAGTTTACCTTGATGACATCTTAATCTACACTGAAACCATGAACACATTAAATTAGTTAGAGCAGTATTGAATAAGCTATGCTCTGCTAAGCTATAGGCCAAACTCTCCAAATGTGAATTCCACAAAGATCATATTGACTATTTGAATTACCGCATCTCCAGTAAGGGTGTCAAGATGAACCTGGAAAAAGTACGAGCGGTATTAGACTGGGCCCCACCTCGTACTAGAAAGCAGCTACAAAGTTTTCTAGGTTTTGTGAACTTTTACCGGCCGTTCATTCCCTCATTTGCGCAAATCACACTCCCCATCACAAACCTACTAATGACTAAGGGAGTACACAAACCAAAACCCAGCCAGCTGCTGAAATGGATAGGGAAGTGTCAAGCCACATTCGAAAAGTTAAAGAGACTTTTCTCTGTGGAGCCGATTTTAAAGCACCCAGATCCGGAGAAAGCTTTTGTCATTCAAGCCGATGCTAGTGATGTGGCTGTAGAGGCAGTCCTGCTCCAGAGGAATGAGGAAGGCCAACTGCAACCCCGTTCCTATACTCCTAAAAAACTCTCTGAGTGTTAAATTGGAAATAGTTGCATAGTTTATGCCTCCTAAAAAATTTGCAGCGCCTGTCACTACCCGAGCACAAAGCAAGGCCATGATGCCAATAGACTGAACAGCATGCCAGGATTTCAAAAAAGCACTAGAAACTGATGAGTGGTTTCAGAGCCATAAGAACTTATGTTTAATCAAAGACGACCTAGCCTGGGTAGGGGAAAAACTATACGTGCGAGCAACCCTAAGACTGAGAATAATGCAAGCTGGGCATGATTCAAAGATTGTGGGACATTTTGGATTCATAAAAATCCTACACCTACTAAAAAGGCAATTTCGGTGGTTTTCCTTGAAAAAGGAAATAGAAAGTTAAGTGGCGAGTTGCCCCACATGTGCTGCATCTAAGCCAGTGGTTCTCAACCTTTTTAATGCCGCGACCCCAACCGGTCGTAAGTCGAGGACTAAACCGGTTGTAAGTCGAGGACTAAACCGGTCGCAAGTCGAGGACTACCCAACCGGTCGTAAGTCGAGGACTTTCCCTGTCCGGGAGCGCCGCGCATGCGTGGTTCCACCCCCTGCGCCGGCCGAGGCGTAGCTGGCAAGCGGCAGAGACGGAGCAGGCCGACCACCAGCTGGCCCAGCTCAAGGGAGGTAAGGCACCCACCGGAAAAGGGGAAAAAAATGGTGGACAGCCTTGCTTGGCGACCCCCGTGAAATGGTCGATCGACCCCAAATGGGGTCGCGACCCATAGGTTGAGAACCGCTGATCTAAGCAGAGGCAAGGGAAGACACCGGGGCTTTTACAACTGGTGGCAAGCCCTTCAGCACTCTGGAGAGAGATGACATCCCCTCTTTGCAGGAATGGATCAAACAATTACAAAACGCCTGGCCAGTAGTGCATAAAGCACTGGATGAGGCCAGAAACGCCTATAAGACTCAAGCTGATAAAAGGAAGGTTGAGCAGAAACCTTTTAAGATTGGAGATAAAGTCTATCTCTCTACAAAATATTTGCAATCCTTGCAGCCTTCAAAGGAGTTAGGGCCTAAATTTGTAGGACCTTTTCTCATTAAACACATTATTAACCCAGTAACTATAGAACTAGAGCTCCCTAAAAGCCTAAGACAGATCCATCCTGTCTTTCATTGTAGTTTACTTAAACCTGAAATTACATCAAATCTTAGGCCTCTGGCTGGTACCAGTTTGGGTGGAAGGGGAGCAACACTTTGAAGTACATGACATTCTGGATTCTCACAAACACCATGGTTCCACTCAATATTTAATAGATTGGAAAAACTTTCCCCCTGCTCAAAACGAATGGGTTTATAAAACGCATGTTAGAACTACTAAGCTATTTAAGCATTTTTACACAAAATATACTGATAAGCCTGATTAATGTGGTCCTTCTATTTGTTTCTCTCCCTTTTACAAGTGGATTATCCATTTTTCTAGGGGGTCCGTATGTCAGGTCCCCAAAGAAAATGGTTCTACTATTTTCTGCAGCCTTTCTTTATGTCCTGCCATTCTATTGGGAGGGGGGAGCTTTTGGGAAAGCTTTGCACTTTCTGCTAAAATGCCCTTCCCCCAGGGGATGGAATGTCTCTTTCTTATCTAAGAGACGGTTTGTGCTTGGAGCCAGAAGAAATCAAAAGTGAGAAAGACCTTGAGAAGCCCGCCAAAAAGACCGGTTACCAAAACACAATGTCACCTATGGATTGGCTGGGATTCAAATGAACACTGGGACCTTGGGGGGAGGAGTATTGAATGTTGCTTTTAAAATATATAGCTTCATGGGTTTTTCTCTCAGATCTCGCCTTGATTCCCTGCTATCATTAGCCCCTAATAAAAGTTCCTTTTGAGACAATGCCTGTTTCAAGAGTTCTGCTTTCTCGGGTGGCTTAGCTGAGGTAGGTCCTTACAGCCTCATTTAGGTAATGAGTAATATGGTAATATGCTTTCCTCTTTGAACTGAAGAAAAGTATGTCACTAAAAAAGAAATCATGCACACACACAATCATTTTTTTTGCCTTGTCTCAGTAACAAAGCCAACAGTATTGTTGCCTTCACTCAATAATGCAGAGAAATAGTTTGTAACTGGGAGACTTCACTGTTAAAAAAAAAAGCCACTTTCCACAAATGCTGGGAATCACATAATTCAATAATGCTGCAATAAATAAAGAACTTCCACACCTGCCATTCCAATAGGAAGAATGCTATATAGAAACATACAAAGCACTTTTTTTAAACAAAAAAGGCAGATAAAAGTGCAAGTCTCTAAGCTAACTGTAACCTATTACTCCTCACAGTTAACAAATTCACAGCTTCAGATCCATACATGCAAAGTTGAATTCCAACATCAGGAGCACTAATATGACTTCATGGGAGATCTACTTTTGTGGATGCAAACAAAACCATGCCTTGAGGCTAAAATATCTAAAGGTAATATCATACCATCTTATCAATAGGCTGGTAAGAAAGCAGGGATATATCATGAAGACATATTTTCCACAAATGATTGGTAGGGTAACTTTGCACTAGAAAGTTGTGACAATGATCCTAAAGCAATATTGTTTGGGAAGTTTTTCAGTTTTAGTAAAAAACTGAAATAAGATGTTTTTTATTATATTGAAGTCATGTTGCAAAAATACCATTATTTTAGCATCTACTATTTTATGGAAGCACAAGGTTTATTTTAATAAACTGTTATGTAACAGACTAGCACTGATAAAATTCATCATTAAATATAAGCAGATAGGCTTATCTAAAAGATATAATAAAAATCCCCAAATATTTTTCTAGAAGAAAATAATCCATTCATATTCACCCACTTTTCTCACTCTAATCACAGTAAAAAAATAGTGATTATGTCTGGAGATGGTGTCTTTTTCATACTTCTCCAATCAGCATGGATCATGGCAATAATTCAAACTAAACTAAATCAGTAACATACCAACCTACTGAACACCATTTCAAAGAGTTCATGTGAAGGTAAAGGTTCATGTAAAAACCACTTACATCCAAAGTTTAAAGTTGCTTCCCGGCTCCTAATAGTTCCATGTATATTGTATGCTATGCAAACATATGTTCCTTCATCCCTTGACTTCTCAGGATTATTGATTTCCAGGTTACCTCCTACCATACTATAATGTTCTTTTGTCAGTTTAATATCAACATCCCAGTTGTTACGTTGCCACCTATTCAAGGAAAATATTTATTTTTAAAAAATATTAATACCTTATGTCAGCACTTCAATTGCCTTAATACACATTGCCTCCAAAACATGGTATCTATCCCTACAGAATGAGATTATGGCAGTATCTGTTTCATTGAATAGTGCAAAGTTTTAATTGGAAATTCAGTTTGAATTTGACTGTGTTTCTAAATCAGTCTGAATTGAATCCAATTTGATAATTTATTTTAGACAATCTTCCGTGCATGCAGGAAAAAATATCAAACTGGGTTTCCAAATGACATAATTTTATTAGTTAAAGCATCAAACTAATTTTCTAAATTGAATTAGATATCTGACCTGAATTGATCTGAATTGACAATACAAATCTGATCTTATTGCATACTACTATTCCTAGGTGTTATTTACAGATTCCTCAAAATAAATCCATTGTGCTAGTTACAGAATGACAGGGATTCCTAAATAATATGGTTATAGAATTGAAAATAATTATTTAAATGCTTTTCAGAGATACATAGAATTTAATAAATATAATGTTTCTCACAGTTCATTCAATCATACTACCATCAACTTGATCCTACTGAAATTGAATTAAGAATGTAGTTTCTTAGATATTAGCCACCAGGGTGAGCATCTAATCTGTCTTATATATAATCTCCTCCATACAACAGATAAATATAATATTGATTCAATTTTTAGAATGCTCTGTGAACACTGAAAAATAAGTTTTTGCCCAAATTAATTGTTTGATTACATTATAATAGTCAAATAATGTACTGTAGAATATAGATAATAGCAGAATATGGTGATATTTTATAATAGAAATTAGACATTATTAACACTATGATGTTTTGGGTAAGTGAAACTTTTAAAGATGAGGGCAAAAGCTATATCGGTTAAATATAATTCCTAAAATGTTAATTAACATAAGATTGCTTGAAATATATAATTAATGCTAAGTATGACCTTGTGTCAGACTTCCCCCAGTCTGATCCCTTAGAAAGTAAAACTCTCAACTCCATTTGCTTGAAGTGAAAAGGCACTTTTACTAAGAGATGCTAATTGCAGTAAAGTCAAGCGGAATTTAAAATCCCCATGCTTCAATACAGAACTAAACCCCTGGTTTCCCTTAGCCCCACCCCCATGGTCCATCTGTGTATAGCCAATCTGGCACTGCCGAGATGTTTTAGGAAATGCTGAGGTGTTTGGATGGGTGAAATTCCACTCTCAGGGCAAACGGGCTTGAAGATGCCAGCATGTCAGCATGAACTGAATTCCAAAACGCTCTGTTCTCCCTCAACTGTCTATCCCACCTCACAATTTCCCATCATAAAGTAATTCAGCTTTATGGCACATTTGTTCCCCCCTCCCTTCCCCAGTTAATGGCAGAACACCAGCAAGGACCAACCAACGATGGTGGATCTGACATCATGCCCCCCTTGACAAGGACGTCAGTCCTGCAAAACAAAAGGAAACACACAACAAAGAGAGAGAGAAAAACAAGGTAGATATATGGTTATAATAGGGAACTATCAGGATATTAGTTATGGAAAGGAGGAGCTTGAGAAGTTTGGCTGCTTTAATGTGCTTAAGTCTCCATTCAGTCTCAGGAGGAGGAAAGTGTTTCCATGCCACTAGATACTGAAGCTTTCCTCCATGTTTACGAGAGTCTAAAATGTCCTTCATTTCAAAATGTTGTTCCCCCTCAGTCATGAGTGGTTTGGGTGGCAGAGGCAGCATTGGATGCAGGAGGGACTGAGTTTGCGATTTTAGAAAACTACAATGAAAAATAGGGTGAATGCATCTAAGGGATTTCAGCAGCTCAAGCTCCACTGTGACCCAATTGATGATTCTTTTGATAGAGAAAAGGCCAACATGCTTTGGTCCCAGTTTTTTGGAAGGCTGTATGGATTGCGGGTATTTAATAGAGAGGTAGACCTGGTCTCCTATTTTAAAGGCTTTGGGTTTTGTTCATTTTTTTGTCTGCACACTTTTTATGAGTTTCTCTTGCCTCCTCCAATGATTTTCTGACAACCGGCCAGGAATTCTGTAGCTGGGCAACCCAGTCATAGAATGGGGTGGTGGTGGCCAGGGGCAGCTTAGGCATGAGTACAAAGTCCTGTCCCATAGTCACCTTGAAAGGGGTAAACCTAGTTATTGTAGGCTACTTCAGCAAATGGAAGAAAGACTGTCCAATTGTCCTGTTGGTAATTTATGTAACACCTCAGGTATTGTTCTAGAACCCCATTCATATGTTCACACACCCCATTCATTTCCGGATGATGACTGGAACTAAGCCCTTGGGATGTCCCAAGAAGTTTTTAAAACTCCTGCCAGAATTTGGAAGTGAATTGTGCTCCACAGATGGAAATTATCCATTGTGGAGTGGCGTGCAACCTATAGAAGTGGTGGATGAAGAACTTAGCCAAGGTACGGTTGGAAGGGATTGTATGGCAGGGCACAAAATGCACTTGTTTAGAGAACATATTAGTGATCATCCAAATTACTGTGTTTCCTGTGCTTTCCAGTAGTTGTACTATGAAGTCCATAGAAATTTCCTTCCAGGGAGTGTAAGGCTATGCCACTGGTTAGAAGAGTCCTGGTGTTTTCCCTTGCCGCTTGGCTGAAGCACAAATTGGGCAGTTGGCCACATAACTTTGAATGTCTTTCTTAAGTGAAGGCCACCAGAACTAGCACTTAATCAGGCATAACGGTTTTATAAAACCAAAATGTCCTGAAGTCTGAATCAGGCTTTTCTCCAGGACTTGTAATCTTTGGGTTTCTGGAGCATATAGCTTGGTCCGTATCCAGGCTAGGCCTCCTTGCATTGTGCATTCATTTTTGTGAGCTTGGAACCACTTGTCTCCTTCTAGTGCTGCTTTTAGAGTGTCCGCTATGCCTTCCCCAATTTGGGGTTTTCCTTTCGCCTGTGCTCAGGTGATTACTGGTGCCACAAGCTGGTGAGACGGAATAACCAGTCTATTTCCTGTTTGGAACTGTAGAATAGAATAGAATAGAATAGAATAGAATAGAATAGAATAGAATAGAATAGAATAGAATAGAATAGAATAGAATAGAATAGAATAGAATAGAATAGAGCTGGAAGGGACCTTGGAGGTCTTCTAGTCCAGCCCCCTGCTCAAGCAGGAGAACCTATATTATCTCAGACAAGTGACTGTCCAGTCTCTTCTTTAAAACCTCCAGTGATGGAGCGCCCACGATTTCTGAAGGCAAGCTGTTCCACTGGTTAATTGTTGCACTGTTAGGAACTTTCTCCTTAATTCCAGGTTACTTCTCTTTTTGATCAGTTTCCAACCATTGTTTCTTGTCCTGCCCTCTGATGCTTTGGAGAATAATTTGACCCTCTCTTCTTTGTGGCAGCCTCTCAAATACTGGAATACTGCTATCATGTCACTCCTGTTTCTTCTTTTCTTTAGACTAGCCAAACCCAAGTCCCACAGCTATTCTTCATATATTTTATTCTCCAGGCCTTTGATCACCTTAGTTGCTCTTCTCTGAACTTTTTCTAAGGTCTCAACATCTTTTTTGTAATATGGTGACCAAAATTGGTTGCAGTATTCCACGTGTGGTCTCACTATGATTTTACAAAGCAGTACTAATACTTCGTGTGATCTTGATTCTATGCCTCTGTTTATACAACCCAGGATTGTATTAGCTTTTTTGGCTGCTGCTGCACATTGCTGGCTCATAGTCAAGTGATCGTCCACTAGGACTCCAAGGTCCCTCTCACAGTTACTGTTTTTGAGCCAGGTCTCACCTAATCTGTACTTATATCTTTAATTTTTCCTGTCTAAATGTAAAACTTTGCTTTTCTCCACATTAAAATTCATTTTGTTGGATACGGCCCATTGTTCCAGTTTGTCAAGATCTTTTTGGATCCTGAGTTTGTCTTCTGGGGTGTTGGCTACTCCTGACAGTTTGGTGTCATCTGCAAATTTGATGAGTTCCCCTTCTATTCCGTCATCTATGTCATTGATGAAGATAATTGTTTGCAGATCTGTTTTTTTATTATATTTTCCAGGACCTTCCCCAGTATTGATGTTAGACTGATTGGTCTGTAGTTTCCTGGGTCTGTTTTTCCCCCTTTCTTGAAGATGAGAACCACATCAGCCCTTTTCCAATCCTCAGGTACGTCCCCAGTGCTCCAGGATTTATGAAACATGTGGTACAATGGTTCTGAGATAATATCTGTCAGCTCCTTCAGAACTCTGGGATGTAATCTGTCATGTCCCACTGATTTATATTCGTCAAATTGGATAGGTGTTCTCTTACCATTTTCTTGCTTATTTTAATTTTTGTTTCTAGTCTTTTGCAGTATTTTTTTTGTATGTTGTACTAATATTTCTTTCTTTTTACTCTGGTGGATCTCACATTTTGAAAGTTTAGCATATAATTGAACAGCCCTAAGTTTTTAAAGCACCACTCTAAACAGTTTCACATGCTCCGTCATCATCTCAGTATAAATCAGTATGTCAACCAGGTAGACCAGCATCCCTTTGTACAGGTGCTCATGCAGCACCTTATTTAACAGCTGAATGAAGACAGCAGGGGGCCCTTGTAGTCCAAAGCGGAAGAACCTGAATTGAAAATACCTTAAGGGGCAGTTAAAAGCTGTTCTCCATTCATCGCCCTCCTTGATCCAAACTTGGTAGTAGGCTTCTCGCAAGTCCAACTTAGTAAAAATCTTCCCTTTGGGCTAGCATGTCTTTCATTAGTGGCAGTGGGTAACGGGAAGAGACAGAGGAGATGACGTTCACAGTTTTGGAGGGGGAAATCGATAGCTTCATTCATAAGATGGTCAAGTGAAGTTGGGCACTTTGATGGTGTCCAGGGAAAAGGCCGAGAGAGGAGGCTCCCAAAGACTCCTTCATCCTTCATGCATCAGTCCATGGAGAGACAAGAGGGGGAAATGTGGGCCAAAAGCATCTTAAAACTAACAGAACAGGGACTTCCGGTGGTGATGTTGAGGTGGTGCAGAGGGAA